AAAGAGGCCTTAAAAACAAGGCCTTTTCTCTAATTTACTCTTATTTCTCTCCTCTTTTTTTTTCTCTTCCCTCCTTCCTTTCCTTTTTCTCCTAAACAATATAATGTGGTTCTTAAAATTCCAATCTCTTCTGAGTCACAGGCTCCCCTGAAAATCTGATGAAAGTTACTGACCCTCCACCAAGAAAAATGCACACTTATCCACAATCCTCTAAAGCTTCTTCATAGGAACCCTAGAAATCTGTGGTTAAGAAATTCTCTCTACCATAAACACTAATGGTATCAAAGGAAATAATAGCCATCTGGTAAGGAATCTGCAACATGCACAGACCAATGAGGCTTGCTATTCCTTCCCTTTCATTTTTTAATGATACAGAACAAACTTTGTATATACTTGAAACTTATGGAACATTTCAAGCATATACCAAAGTAGAAAGACTTGTAAAGATGAATCATTATGTACCCATGACCTGGCTTCAACAATGAACACACATCTACCTTGTTTCATCTATGTTTCCACCCCTTCTTCAAATCCTAGCTGTATCGTTTCATCAGTATATATCACTAAAGAGTAAGGATTCATTTTTAAATGATATAACTACAATATCACAATATTATTATTATACTTAAAAATTAACAATAAGTCCTTAATGTAATCAAATATCCATTCAGTTGTTTAAATGTCTGAGTGCCTTAAAATTATTTTTTTAGTAGTTGGCTTATTTGCACCAGGATCCAAGCAAGGTCTGCACGTTCACATTCAAGCCTGGTCTCTCAAATGCTTCGGCTAATGACATTTGACAGTGGCTCTGTTTTCTTTGGCAAGACAAAGAAAGTAGATGAACATGTGTTCAGTGAATTTAGGCTGTGCTTAAGCAATCTAAATTAAAGAAACAAACAGTAAGTCAATTTTCAGCCTATACTTTTTGGATGATTGGCCTTGCCCTTCATATTTTGCCTTTGTGGGTCTTAGAATCCAGAAATCAATCATCCCTCCCTCCCCTCCTTCCTCCAGATTCCTGCTGTGTTCTATGCTGTGTCAGGTGTCTATGAACAATACTAATAAGCATTGTCCTCTGAATATTATAAATCTGTGGGGAAGCCAACATGAAAAATTATACATATATATGAGAAAATATATGGTCATATGATAAAGAGTTCAGGAAACTAATTAATATTCATTCATCAGAATTTATTGGATACTAACCACATACTGGACATTATACTTAGTGCTAGGTACATAGTGGTGAATAGAAGACACACTACCTACACTCCTGAAACTTAGAGGAGCATAAGCTGCTTACAGTGGTAAGCTACTATATTGAGTTCTGGGAGAACAGCAAGATGAAAATATGTGACTTCTACCTTTGGGAAATCCGTGATCTAAAAGGTAAACTAGGTAAACATATAACAAATAAGTTTAAAATAAAAGCAATTTTTTCCACTTTAAAGTTATTTCTCAGAAAGGACTTGACTTTATCTGAGAGTCTTTACAACTTGGATGGAAGTGAAACTCTCATGCTCTGGAAAATTGACTCAAAGCACCTGTGGTGATGAGGAGGCCATTGCTGCTAAAGATGTACTTGAAAATTTTGAATAATTTTAAATATTTATAAAATGTGAGAAAAAGTATTTCTAAATATATTATTTAAAATATCTGTACTCTCTCAGCTTTACCTGTAAATATTTCAGTATGTATATACTAAAATGCTAAAAATAAAGGTTCTTAAAAAATAAGCACAGTATAACCACAGAGAACATTCATTGTCTCTTTTAACCTATTGGTTTCACCTTTCTCTTTGTCTCTTTGTCTCTTTCTCATCTTGCAATTATTTATTTAAAAAGGGGAGGTGGAGAGAGGATTTGTTCTGTTTGCTCCCACAGTCTGAATTTTGCTGATTGTATTCCTGTGGTGGTGTTTTTCCATGGAACTCTGTTTCACTGTATTTTCAGTAAATTGGTATTTGGATTTAGAGGCTTGACCAGATTCAGGGACAATTTATTTAGTAAGATTACTTCATGGATGGTGATATGGTCTCCCATCAGGAGGCATTTAATGCCTGGTTGTCTCTCTGTAAAATCAGTGGGCCACTGAAAATCAGTGCAATCCATTAACACTTGCAAAATGGGGGTATCTAATTCTAACATTCCTTTTTATTTATTTTTTTCTATAAGAAGAAGCTTCTCTCATCTACTCTATGGTACAATTATATAGGAAATCCAAAATACATTTTTACTAGTTTTCAAAATAATGTATGGGTTATTAGTATTCTCCTCCAAGGGTGACCAGTTAGTTAATTTTTAAAGTGACCCTGTGAACTCATGGATTTTTATCACATTTGGTATGTTCAGTCTATTGCAGTTATTACCCTTACTGATTGATGCTCACCTTGTCCTGTTGTTGGCAAAGGCTCCTGAGGCCTTTTGACACAATCCTAGTTGTCTTTGAGTGCCTTTTAGTAGAAAATGGTGTTCTGAGAGACCACAATCTAGGTGCTAATAACACTCATTACTACTAGCTGATCATTTTTTCTAGGACTTTTGGGTAGACAGAGCTAGAAAATAAAAATTTAAAGGTTTAAAGGCATTTAAAGATAAAAATACATCCCACATTGTTGTTGATACTTCTGGTTCAAATTCAGGACTATGTGATTTTTACTTAACTTCTGATTTACAGCTGTATCTCCTTTCATGCCTGACAAGAATCCCAGTTCTCAGTCACACTGAGAGTGATGGACTAAGTTCACGTAATTTCTCATTTGTTTTATTTCACAATACATAACAGTCTCAGAATAACACCAACCCTATAACCAATAATAAGAACTAACAAGCAGTTTAATATCTTTTAAAATTCTTTTTGTCCTTTGCGCATATATGACACTAAGCACGTTCAGTCAGTTTATTATATTTTAGAGTTACTTGGAATGGTTGCTCTTGGAATAGTTATGCCTCAACTTGGCATTGTTTTCTTTTGTTTTTGATTCCTGGGAATTGCTTAAACATTTAAAAATTTTGTTTTAATATTATATAATCTATTGAGAAAATAAGTTATATTCAAAGAAGTTTAATTTCTGTCCCTGCCTCCTGTACCCTATTCTCTCCCTTTTCTGTAAATAACTATTTTAAAAAGTGTTTTATGGCTTATTCTTCCTTTATGTGGTTCTAAGTAAAAGCAACTGCTGATATTCTAACACCATACTTAGATAAAGGCTAGTAAATTATACATTTTTCCCTACCTTGCTTTTAAAGCTTAATGTATCTTGGACATTATTCCATGGTAGTAGTTATATGAAATTTTAAATGTCTATAAACTGAATTCATAAAAAAAAAAATAAGACATTTGACGATTTCATCTGCTTCCCTAAAAGGGTATTTATTCAAATTGACCTCAGAAACTTTTTTTGGAGTCTTCTCACTGGGAATATTGATTGCCTTATATTCATGGTTGCCTTATTTGGGAGCATAGATGATAGCTGCAAAATAGTAAAAGTAGAACAGTAAACTGGAAATCTGAGCAGGATCTAGAAGCACAGTAAGGATTTGGTGTGCTGGGGAGCTGGCACATTAGGTGAGAGGACAGCATGAGCAAAGGCATGAAGGTGGGAATGTGCCCGGCACCCAGGGGTCAGTGAGCCTGGCTGGCGCTGTTGATTTGGTAAGCGAAATAGATTGGCAGGAAGATCAGGTAAGATTTTTTGGAAATAATTCAGGGTCTTGATAAGGTAGGTGCCATTATATTAATTCTTTCAACAATGATATATTGAGCACCTATCATGTGAAAAGTCTGTGCAGGGTGCTGGGGAAACAGTAGTGAGGAAGACAGATACTGTCTCTCTCTTAAGGAGCAGAGACATTTCATTACTAAGGAGAACAGTGTTCTATGAGGGCATATAAATGGGGGAACCTAGCTTAGTTCAGTAGGGGGGTAGTCAGGGAAGGCTACCAAGGAAGTGCACTGAAGCTGAGGTCTATGGGTTGGTGAATAAGTACTAGCTGCTGGTGGTGGAGGTAGGGGTAGCTGGGAGAAGGTGATAGTTCTAGGCAGAGGGAGCAGCACTCAGGGAAGAAAGTGAGTAGGTTCCAGAACTGAAAAAAATGTCTAGTATGATTGAAAGCGCTGAACAGTGTGGGATAGAGTGGATGAGATGAGAGTGAATTCAAGGGAAATTGCAAAGGAGCTCTTGATAAGAAAAAGGAACGATTTGCCTGAAGGCATGTAATAGCGCTCAGTACCTGTGGAATGGATGAGTAAATAAGTTTGAAATTTCAAATGTGGACTAAGAAATGATGGTGTCATGGGTAAGATAAGTGAGCACAGGGTGCTAGTTTTAGAAAGATTAGTTTCATTTTAGACACATGGATCTTGGGGTTGACATTCCAGTGGCTTGTCCCATACTGAGCCATACAGTGTTGGGCTCCTGTTTAAATTGTAATACTAAAATGAGGGAAACAAAAGGTAGGGTGCTTTCCTTGGGAATTCTGGTTAGAGGAAGATGAGCTTTAGGATGAGATAGAGGAGACATGGTCAGAGGAGCAGGATGGAGATGTTCGAGGGCAGATAGGTAGGTAAACAGGCTCAATTGCTGCATAGAGGGCAAGTTTACACCAAATGAGTCAGGTGGTTGACTTCCTGGGATGCCAGCACGTTCTGTAGGTGTATAGGTGGGGTAGGGGAGGTGGAAAAGGCAGGAGATCTGCAGTCACAGACCTGAGCTCAATGCTCCCTCTGCCAAAATTTCCCACATTTGTGACTTATTAATGGTGACTAATAATCACACAATACTTAGTGTTCTCTGAGTCTCAGGCTGCTTATTTATGAAATGAGAAAGAATGGCTGCCACCATTTGCATCTCAAAGTTATTGTGAGGTTCAAGTGAAAAATACGCATAAACCATTGTGGTTCCCCTGCAAGGGTTGCATAAAAGGTCTGGCACACACCCCGTACTTAGAGGAATGTTTGAATGAGTGTGGGCATTACAATGGTTACTTATGTTTCAACAGAGACCAGATGAAGAAGCTGTGGTGGACCAGGGTGGGACCAGTACAGTTCTTAACATTCACTATGAGAAAGAAGAGTTGGAAGGTAAGAGCTGTTCGACTGCATGATGGGAAAATAAATGAGAGCAGCCTGGTGTGGGAGGAATAGTTTTGCCATCAGGAGACCTAGGGATGGGTCCTTACTCTTTCTCACTAGCTATAAGACCTTGGGGGAAAAAAATCACCTAGTTTCCCTAAGCCTCAATGTCCTTGTCTATTAAATAACGGTAGGGGAATAATACCTTGCTGTTAGGATCTGATGGGCGGCTTGTGAGACAGCGCTCTGAGAACTGCAAGTCCAGTATAAGTATTAATAAATGTCCCTGAAAATGTGAATTACCCAGATCAGTTTATTGATTCTTTACAACTGTCTACAAATGTAAGTATATACAAAATTTTAAAGGAAATAAAGTACAAGTAGTTTAAAAAATTCAGTGGGTCTGTACAACCCTAGTTTTCCCCCATTTCCAATGTTTGCTCTTCTCATTTCTGCCTGGTGTCTTCATCCACACAAGAAAAGAGAAAACACGTACACACCTTTAACATGTTCTTAAAAGAGTTCATAGCACAGAGTTGTATAAAAACCCAACTGAAGTGGAAGGGGAAGAAGAGCCGTTTTTATTGACTGGCACTGATTGGTTTGCCCTGTAACAATGGCCGTTCTTCCTTTCTGTCCTGCCTTGCCCTCTGCTCCCCTCACGACCATTGTGTGGTGTCCTTCAGCTTTCCTTTGTCCCATAAGGGTTTAGTTTCCTGATAAGTGACGATGGTCAGTTTTATTAGAGAAGGGCTCAAGTCCAGGACAGCTTTAATGAGAACCCACATTTGGCTCAAAAGCCTTTGTGGAATTTCTGCAGCATCCCCTGCAATGTTGAAGGCTATGATACAGCAACTTTCTAATGACTGAGACGGCATGTGAAATGTTCTCTCTGTACTGCTTGTTCCTGTGACATTTTTTCCATCAAAGTTGTACAATCCCTAGAGAAAACTTGTCCTTTGGATGGGGAGAGCAAAAGCTGTGGATAGAGGTTGACTCAGCCTCTGGGTCTGTTACCATGAGAACTTATGTGGGTGGCTCTGGGGGGGTCAGTGGAGTTTGGATATATCAAGGTCAAGTTTTACAAATTATTTTGACCAGATGGAAGAAGAGCCAGTGTGGGTTTCAGCAACTGGAAGAAAGTGGGAGAAGGAAAGGGTGTGGAGGCAGGAGGCTGACATTTGTTATGTGTTAGCCATTGGATTAGGCACTTTGCACAAGTTGTCTTTTTTATCTTTACACGCCCAGGCTGGTAGGTATCATCTCTATTTTACATGTGGAGAAATTGCTCAGGGTCAGTTAGCCTAATAGCAGGTAAGACTGGGATGGAATTCTGCTCTGTCTGCTCTGTCACACTGCCTATAGGGAACGACAGTCTGTAGTACTAACCACCCAACCAGAATACCTTGCTCCTTTTATGACATAAACATCGTATTTTTTTTAATGACATAAGAATTTTTTATGACATAAACATCGTACAAATATTTTATCATACCGCACCGCTCCTCCTCCTGCCTAGTAATCCTGTTACTTCCCCACCGTCTTGTTGCACTGTGGGGCACTGTTGCTCTCGGTTTCATTGTCTGCACCCCCTAGACCTTTGCCCTCAGCAAGGAGGTAACTGTTTCTGAACAGTCTTGTCTACTTGGGAGTAGGATAATAAACCTGAGCAAACTCTGTTTTGAGAACTGGGTTCCACTCACAGAGGTCAGCTGAGTAATTGGCAGTAGGAGCATCCTATCATGATGACATCATCTCTTCCTTATACACTTTCCATTTTGTTGTAAAAGATCGCCATCTATGATGATGTTATTACTAGGGGATAGGGTACTGGGAAGTGGTCTTTTTTACATAGACCTTCTTGAATACTAGAATCCTATTAATGTTAGCACTTTTTTAAAAAGCACTACAGGTGCCTTTCGGTTTCCGTTCCTGGCCCATGTGAGAGACAGGCCGCTGAGATGAGCGCGATCCAACCTGGGGAGAGCCTTCTGGCTTTAAGTCAACAGGAAGAACTAGAGGATCTGCCAAAAGATTACCCCTTGAGCAACAGTGAAGATGAGAGGGACGTTGATGGAGAGAGAAAGCATCAAAAGCTTCTGGAAGCAATCAGCTCCCCTAATGGAAAGAATAGGTGGAAACTGGCTGAGAGATCTGAGGCCATTCTGAAGGTATCAGAGTTCAGTGTCAGTTCTGAAGGATCAGGAGAAAAGCTAGTCCTCTCAGATCTGCTTGAACCTGTTAAAACTACGTGCTCATTGGCCACTGTGAAAAAGCAACTAAATAGAGTCAAATCAAAGAAGACTGTGAAGTTACCCCTTAACAAAGAAGAGGTTGAGCAGATCCACAGAGAAGTGGCGTTCAATAAAACCTCACAAGCCCTCTCCAAATGGGATCCCATTGTTCTAAAGAACCGGCAAGTACAGCAGCTCATTTTTCCCCTGAAGAGGGAGCAGTCAGCCTTTGCTCCCATTGAACATGTGCTCAGTGGCTGGAAGGCAAGAACTCCCCTGGAGCAGGAAATTTTTTATTTCCTCTATAAGAATAAGCAGCCAGTGACAGACCCTTTACTGACTCCCATGGCAAAAGCTTCTCTCAAAGCCATGAGCCTAGAAGAGGCCAAGATACGCAGAGCAGAACTTCAGAGGGCCCGAGCCCTGCAGTCCTACTATGAGGCCAGGGCTCGAAAAGAGAAGAAAATCAAAAGTAAAAAGTATCACAAAGTTCTGAAGAAAGAAAAGGCTAAGAAAGCCCTAAAAGAGTTTGAGAAGCTGCAGAAGGTCAATCCTACTGCAGCACTGAAAGAACTGGAAAAAATCGAAAAGGCCAGAATGATGGAACGAATGAGCCTTAAGCACCAGAACAGTGGGAAATGGGCAAAGTCAAAGGCAATCATGGCCAAATATGACCTGGAGGCTCGCCAGGCTATGCAGGAACAATTGGCCAGGAACAAAGAACTGACACAGAAGCTCCAGGCAGCTTCCCAGAGTGAGGAAGAGGAGGGAGATGTGGAGGAAGAGGGTGAACTCCTTGTCCCTGATGCAGTGAATGAAGTACAGATGAATGCAGACAGAGGGAACCCTTGGATGTGCAGGAATTACTCCAGTGAAGTTAAAGAGCACATAATGGAGAAAGACCCTGAAAAACTTCCAGAGCCTGTGGCCACCGAGACTTCTGAAAGTGAAGAAGAAGAAAGACCCCTGGCAGAGGAAGAAATTTTGTTAAAAGAATTAGAGGAAAGGCGATTGCTTAGAAAAATGTCTGGGCTCAACCAGAACGCGAAGCTGGAGGGCAGACGAGAAACAGCAGATTCTAGCAGCCAGGAGGTGCTGTCACAGAAACTCAGCAAGGAAAACCATCAATCCAGGAAGCAAAAAGTGAATTCAATTCTGCTGGTTCAGAGAGAGGAACCTATCAAGGAAGAAGAGCCCCTGTTGTTCCAGAGGCCAGAGAGAGCACAGACTCTGGAAGAGCTAGAAGAGCTGAGTGAAGAAGGGTGTTTTCAAAATAAGGAGCTTCCCAGACCTGTGTTACAAGGAGAGTGGATACAGAGGAACCCAAATAATCAGCCTGATGCCCCCAAAGAGAAGAAAAGGCAGGAGCAAATGATTGAACTGCAGAACCTCCTTACCACAAAGTCTCCTTCTGTGAAGTCTTTGGCATTTCCAACGACAACAGAGGAGTTGGAAGACGAAGAGGAGAGAGCTCAAAAGCAGCTGATAAAGGAAGCTTTTGCTGGGGATGATGTCATCAGAGACTTCTTGAAAGAGAAGAGGGAAGCTGTGGAGGCGAGTAAGTCAAAGGACGTGGACCTGACTCTGCCTGGCTGGGGTGAGTGGGGTGGGGTGGGCCTAAAGCCCAGTGCCAAGAAGAGACTCCGGTTTCTCATTCAAACCCCTGAGGGTCCTCTAAGAAAAGACAAAAATTTGCCAAATGTGATTTTCAATGAGAAGCGAAACATCCACTCAGCAGCTCATCAGGTGTGTGTGATTCCGTACCCATTCACCCACCATCAACAATTTGAAAGGACCATCCAGACCCCTATAGGAACTACATGGAACACCCAGAGGGCCTTCCAAAAGCTGACTATGCCCAAGGTTGTCATCAAGCCAGGCCATATCATTAAGCCTATAAAAGCAGAAGATGTGGGCTACCAGTCTTCCTCAAGGTCAGACCTCTATGTCATACAGAGGAATCCAAAACAACTCTCCATACGTCACAAAAAACAGCTGAAGAAAAACTCTATAGATTGAGTTGCTTAAGGAGTCACATCTTGGTGCCCAGAACCAGGCACACCAACTGCTCTTCCATTGACCTGGTTTTATTCCAAGCTGCAGGACAAATTCCAAAACTGGCTTAGCACACTGTGGATGTAGTTACAGCACATTTTAAAAGTAAAGGCATTTTTAACTATTTAAAAAAAAAAAAAGCACTACAGGCAAATGGAGGGCAAATGGTGCCCACTCCTCAGGCCTGTGTGGTTCTGGAGCAACCTTGGAGAGAAGAGGAGCTGGGATTTGCTGTAGGGTTGACCACGCCGTGGGCCCCACCCCGACTCCCTCTGAGGCCAGCCTGAGGACTCAGTGAGCCTGCACTCAGGGTGGTGGTGTCTCTTGAAGATGTAGAATAAAATCAGTCCCACTTTGGTGCAAAACAGAAGTAAATTGTGTTCTTATTCAATATGTATGCTGTGATACAGTCTCTGTGGCTGCGATGAAGTCTTCTTTCCCCTTTATTCCATAACCTCTATTCCATGTGACTTAAACCATTCCTTCACTCGTTTACAGAACTATGTCAGAGATTTAGTCTCTGGACATTGTTCAAGACTCGTAAATATGGGTCTTTCTGCATAAGTTAATTTCATCAGTAGGAGAAGGTGCATTAAACCATAACGTTGCTTTTTTTTACATATGGGAAGCCTCAAAAGCAAACACTGGAATAGATTTCCAGAGATAAATGCACGAAGAGCAAAAGCCTACACTGTGCTTCAGTGGACTCTCAGTCCCAGA